AAGCATGGCTTTCATCCAATTTGTGGAGCGTCCGCATATGCAGAAGCTCTATGGCCAAAGCCTGCGACAAGATGCGGGGCTTGTCAAGAGCCTCAAACGATCCCTGCCCCCTTCGCTCCGTCAACTGCATGGTAGCGTTGATAAGATTGTGGACGAATCATTTGAGTTCATTGAAGAACTAATCGATACGGCGCGCCCTAAGCTTGCCGCTGGTGTCAACACGTTTGTGAAGGACACAACTGCCCTGTTCCAGACATATCCTGCTCGTGTTACCATCTCCCGCATTGACGAAGATCTGGCTGGATATGATTCGCGGGACTACTCCTTGGTGATTGAGGGCACCGAATCTTCTTCGGTTGACGAGATTGACCTGCGTAGCGGCAGAGAAGATTCAAGACATTCGGTCTTTGAATACGGTGCACCGATCAAGGTCCGGTGGACGGCGCCTTTAAATCACAGCAAGAAAGATTGGATTGGTCTCTACCGCGTCACCGACAATATCTCAAGGGAGATCACGCGGGTTTCTTCTCAAGGCAGATGGATCGCCACAAATGCCGGTGTCTACGACAACCAAACCTGTGAAAAAGGCATCGTGACCAGTGATGTGAAAATTTCGGCCTCGCAGCGCCCAGATGGAGAGACAGACGATATCTTCACCGGGGAAGTTGTCTTTACTGGCGACAAGCTCTTCTGGACCCAGGGAGCCTTTGAGTTCCGCTATCACCATAACGGCAAGCACAATGTCATGGCGATCTCCCGTCCCTTCGAGATCCGTACCGCACGGTTTGACGAGGAGGAATTCGTGGAGAGTAATCAGGACGATCTCCAAGCATCCGTTGAGCTGAAGTTATTGCCTGTGATCCGCAACTGCTTGGACCAGGATCCCGAGATAGCACCCGAGACAGTGGAAGAACAGTTTGGCAGCCAAGTGGAACGAAACGGCAAGTATGCCAAAAGAGTTGTATTTGCCGTACACCAAATGTGAGTATCTCACCAGTATTGTTTGTTGTTGCACAATTAACACGGCTCTTCCAGGTTTGGGGTGGAATTTGCGCCCGAGGTCGTTCGAGCTGATGGAACAGTCCGCAATCTTGCGTGGAGGATTTGCAATGCAAAGCGAGTTTTGGTAAGTATTTCTTTCGGGTCACAGCCCATTCGGAGACCAGAGGAGAGAGCCTGACATGCGAATCAATGCAGGCTCCCTACAGCATGACGAGCAACGGCACCTCTACTCCAAGTGAAAGACTAGAGAAGGCAGAGATCGTGGCATGATATCGTTTCAGCGCACAGTATTTCATATATATATCCTCGATTTATCCTGCTGGTATACTCTCTTGAACGACTGTCAATTATTGCAATTACGCATGTCAACTCACACCCTCCAACAACACATGAAAAATGAAAAGGGCAGGCAAATATGCACCGTCGCATCAAAATCAACAAGCTTATATTCTGTCATGGTCAAAGCGAGCTCTCCTGCAGGACTAGGCTTATCCTCGGCTGACTAGTTCTACATGTACATATGCTTTAAGCTATACATACGTATCATGGAATGATGTTTTTCGCAAAGTCCTCTTTTCATTTTCATAATATAGAATGTCGAGGTCGAGAGAAGAATGGGCACGAAGGGCAGAAGGAAAAGGGGAAAGGGGGGAAGATCGTCGAATGTCCATCAGGCATTGGTGAAATTTTGTCTCATGGCCGTGAAGGCTCTGAAGTAGCAAATACGTAGATATGCAAACATCTTCTGAACAACGACGATCAAGTGAGTGGTAGCAGGGAGGGGGAAAGGAGGCAAGACCAGTCTATGAACTTGCAGCAAAGCAAGACATTGAACTGAAAGGGCCAAGACAGTGAGCAAATCATGCAGAGAAACCAACAGGAGCTGATCATATTCCATGCTATCTACGCCTAGCACTATCCGGCACACACCACACAAGAGCATCGAGACTTGTTCAAGAATCGAATGGGTCTGCAACCAGACATTGTCAGCACAACCGCTATGAATACCCAGCAGATGATGTCTACATCACAAAAAGAACGAAGTAGAATAGTAATCAGCCAAGCCGGTAAATTCATCCCTTCCCCTGCCAACCCCAACCCCCCAACTCGCCGTCCAAAACGAACTTCGAGCCAGAAGGAAGGCATTGACACAAGTCAAGCGTAGCGAAACCAAGCCCACGAAGGATCCCACAAGCCCACAGGAGGTGAAATGTACAAAGGAAAAACAAATGACGGGAATCCACACTCTCGAGAGCTCCACAACCTTCCTCCCTGATGAGAGAATGGTCCGAAGATCGATCTCCTAAAAGGTCCAGTATAAGGGAGATGAGAAGACGTGGCATCAGTTTGTCCACCTATGATGTACATTTGCTCGACGCAGGGTGTTGTAGGTGTTATCAGGAAGAGATCTCGCGCGGCTCGAGGGGCGGTTCTCCACGAGGGGAGATCATTGAATGGATTGACTTGTTGTCATCATAGACATGGTGTTGTGGGCTGTGTGTGTATGGGTATGGGGGAGGATGAGTCTTACCTTCTATAGGTGGTGTGGTAATGTGGTGTCTGGTGTTATTGCTACAGTACCTAGAAAGTCTTTGCAGCTGTTAGCATGCTGTTTTGTTGTTCTTCATGGGTGAAGCGATGTTTAGGATGATTGGTATCAGGAGTTTTTGGTAAGGTATTTGGTTATCTTCAAAAAATTTGCAGAAGCAGAACTGAAAATAAATTTTTCTCATCATGAAAAAGCATATCAAGTGGTGAAACTCGATGCGCGTGGGCAAAGATGGGTTCGAGGGGGGAAAAAAAAGCTGACATACCAATTCATCTACAATCGCTTTCGTTTTTCCACACTCCTCATGACATGGCTGAGTTTGTGTGATCCTATCTTTGGTGACAATTAGCAAATTGTCCACTAGAGTACAATGACTGAGCATGAAGCAGGAATTTGAGATTGAGGTCAGATGGTGATGCATGTTTGTTCGAGGCCCATGTTTAGGTCGCCAGAACTTCGATTTTTTGGATCGCTTTCATCATGCAAGTGATGCTTGGTTGGGTTGTGGAAAAAGATATACTCACAGTTTACAGGTTAGTTGCCAGTATCGTGCTCGAAAGATGACGACGCATCATGCTTTGCTTCGCATTTGAAGAGCTTGAGCTGTCGAAATCACAACAATCATTGTGTTGTGGGGAAGAGAGAAGGAAGAGAAGGAGAAAGAAAGCGCGAAGCGAAAAGCCGAAGAAAAACCCACGAGGGGAAAAAAAAGGCGCCGAACTTCCGCGATCCCACCCATGCAAACCATGCAAACCTTCTCAAAAATGAATGTAGCTTTGCGGGCAGTTCGACCGCCAGCTATCGGATCGCTTTATCAACCCCCATCATTATTATCTGCCCCTCCCTTCGCTGCTTTTCCTCCGATCACTTGTTGTAATTGATCGCAGGGATGCAAAGACATGTGTAATGACTGACAGACGAAGAATTAATGGGCCGCCTAGCGGCACGAGGCCTGCGGTTTTCGCCTCCTCTCTCAAATCCGCCTCCGGCGCCGCTACAGAAAGACCTCGCCGTCATAGACAACCAAATGAGTTGCGCAAGATCTGTAAGAGCTTCCTCTCTTCCCACGAGTTCGCGAACAGGAAGCTAATCTATCGACTAGTCCTCAAGACGGGATTGATCCCTTCGGCTTCCGGCTCCGCATACCTTGAATACGAACCATCTACTTCCCTCGCTGCAGCTCGGTCCTCTCCTCAGTCCCTGATCCCTCCTTCCTCGGCCTTGAAGCTTGCATGCACCGTTCATGGACCGAAACCTCTTCCCCGGTCGGCGACCTTCTCGCCAAACCTCGTTCTTACCACCCACGTCAAATACGCGCCATTCGCCGCCCGTCAACGGAAGGGCCACATTCGGGATGCCAGCGAACGTGACCTGGGCGTTCACCTCGAGACTGCGCTCCGAGGCGTGATTGTCGCGGAACGGTGGCCGAAGAGTGGCCTGGACATTACAATCACAATCCTTGAGGCCGAAGATGACCGGTGGTGGGGGGATGCACCAGACTCGCACGATGCGCCGTGGGGCATGATGAATGTCCTGGCCGGGTGTATCACCGCGGCATCCGCAGCCATTGCAGACGCTCGGATTGACTGCCTGGACCTCGTGGCTGGAGGCGTGGCTGCTATCGTCTCGGACGACGCGGCTGCCGAAGAAGGGAACTCATCAACGCCGAAGTTGATGCTGGATACGGATCCGGCCGAGCACAAGTCCATCCTGTCGGCGTGCGTGGTCGCTTACATGCCTGCGCGAGACGAGATCACTGAGATCTGGCTCAAGGGCGATCACTCCAAGGCTTCTTTGGGGGTCGATGACAGCAGTTTGGGCCATGAAGCTTTGATCGACGGTGCGGTCAACGCAGCGCGCGGAGCGCATACGGTTCTTGTGGAAGCAGTCCAGGAGTCGGCTGAGCGGTACGCTGGACTGTCAATCAGCGATTCATAATGAGGAGTTAGGAGCGTTAATGAAATACAAGAAAAAGTAACGCCTTGCTATTTGCCCTTATAACATATATCCTTTCTAGTTTCCCCACTTAGCATGAAATGCATACGCTTTCAGTCGCTGTTTGCTTCCCATTAGGTATCAATAGAAATAATCTATTGTGTAGACCACCTGCATCTTGCCGTTCGTTAGATGCCCGGGCCAACAATATCACTTCCTCTGGATTCACAAGCTACTGCCTCAGCATAAACACAGACACACAGTGACTTTATTTGAAGAAAGTCCACACCTTCCTCTACCTTCATACCCAGCCTTTTCATAAACGCTCAATTTTCCATCAACTAGACGTGTCCGTCTTCTCCTACTTCAACTCCTTCTCCGCGCCTCATCATCTTAGCAACCAACCGCACCTCTCTCCATCTCAAAATCACCTACACACAACTAATCTACTCGCCCCATCTCCCTGACCCCGATCATACACTACATACGCTTCGAAAACTCGTTGAACGAGACCATGTCCGACCTCAAACGCACCCATGAGGCCGACGTCCTCCTCCTCTACGTGATACTGCTGAATGCAGATTCTAGAACCGTGAGTATTATTGTCACCTCGCCTCACTTGCCATCAATAACCGTTTCTCAACCTACAACCTCCCGTCTACCAACGCCTTGATCTATCTAAGCTACCGCGCGTATCAGAGCACGCGATTTACTTCACATTTCCTCATCCTCTGCAAATCCCTCACTCTCCCCCTCTCACTGGCACGGCAAGGCTATCTCTTACGCGATGCTAACAACTACTCTCAAACCATAGATCAACTGGTCCGCCGTCGCCGAAGCAACCGGTATAACCCAGTCCGCCGCCCGGCTGAAATGGTACCGACTGAAGCAGGAGCTCGACCTGAAGATCGAAGCGGGTGGGTTTGATTATAGGGACATGCGGGTTGCCGAGGCTCAGAGTGGCAGTGACGGCGATAAGGACGCAGGGGGATTCTCGATGAAGGTCACTACTGCTACCGCTGCTACTACCGCTGCCGAAGAGGACGAACCTCGCTCTGATGGAAAGCCAAAGGAACAACAACAGTCACAGCTGAAGAGAGAGAGAAAGAAGAAGTCCTCAAAGATTGTCCAAGATGCGGAGTCAGTCTTGTTTTCGGATTCGTCCTCTGCAGGGTCTGATGGGGACGTTGATGAGGATGATTGGATTGATGGGACCCGTGGTGGTCGGAGGAAGAGTTTTGTTTTCTATGCTGGGGGTCGAGGGGACAAGTTGGGAGAGATCAAGAGTGATGGTGGTGTTGATGTTTCTGAGACCAAGGAGCGAGAGTTGAAGGTTATGGGGTCTCAGGAGAGGGTGTCGTGCTGGTCGTCGGATTCGTCGCTGGTGAAGGTCGGGATATCGGGTGATGGCTCGCAGGGGGAGGCTTGTGCTATCTACTCGGACGAGGATCATGGGGGCGATATGGAGGTCAAGGGGGGTGAAAAGGCTGGGGATTTTGCTGCTACTCAGGAGAATGATATTGATAAGGTGAAGGAGGGGGCTGTGGAGTGAGATGCTTCTCTTTTACTTGGCAGTTGATATGCATTCAGCCCTGCCGGTGTCATAGATTCTGTGGGCAACACACTGAGCTCATATGGTTGAGCATTCGTCATCGAGTTAAAGAATGGACAGTGAGACAGCTCTATCAAACCCCCAGTATTTGAACGTCGCCATGCTCTGTCAATGGATCATTAGGTTTAATACAAGAATAAAGAAAAGGCGCTGATCAAAGATTTTCACCAGCAGCATGTCGTATCGCTGCGCTCAAGCCCTCAGGCTGACTGTAAAAAGGACTATGAGACGCGTCAATGGTCTCTGTCTCAAAAGCATAGCTTTTTGCCGTCTCTTCGACCATCATCATCTGCACCGCTTTCGGAATAGCCGCATCTAGAAGACAATATAGAGAGGTACTGGGGACATGCTTCCACGCCGCATAGGTGCAGGAAAGCACTTACTGCACTGGTGATTTTAGCTCCGATTATTGAGAGAGATGTCGAGGCTATATGTAGGTCCATGTTAGTTACTTGAGCTGGCAAGACTTGCTTACTGTGGACAACACCTGGGAAGGACTTCTGCAGCGAGCAATTCGAATGGGTTTCCTTGCTGCTCTAGGCCCGACTGGAGCGGTGGGGTTGAGCACAAAAGTGCATGCCTCGAACTGAAGACAGAGATCCCAATAACTTCAACACCACTGGATTGGTTATAGGCTTATATCAAAGTGGTACAGTAGTTAAACGGGCGACCTGTGAGGGAAAGCTATTCATGAGCAAGCCTAGGAAATTGCAAATAGGCCACCTAACTTGCGTAAGTCAAGAATGCAGCCTAAGGAGCCAAGAGAGGGTAATGGTCTCAAGAGACGTGCTTGATATATAACCAAGTAGTTAGACATTGGTCATAGCTATCTGTTCGGCGAGACAAAGAAATTATCAAGTGTATAAAAATGTCTCTTATCGGTGCACGTATACATTCGCTCAAGTGAGATACTATATTGGTACAGTACATAGCGTACACTATACAGCCGAAGTGTGTATACTGATTGCACCATACCCAAAAGGTCTTGCGGGAATGGGAACATGTGGGGAACAGAAACAAACACGTGGGATTCAGGCATTAAGAAAGCAAACAGGCAGGCGCCACACAGTGAACATAATTAAGTGTACACACATATAGCGGTATAAGTTCCTTTTCTTTTTCTGGTGGCTGATCTTAGTCTGTATGTGTATCTGCTATTTAGTATCTACAGTTCTGTCTGTCTCTCTAAGCGAGGAGTTCTTTCCGGGTCTTACCGCCGTGAGCCTAAGGATGAGACTAATCCGGAGAAAGTTCTTAGTCGATTCTCAACGGAGATCTAGCCCACTGTCTACTGCCTAAATTACGTACTACAGTACTGACTCGAGTCACTCGACCGTACCTACGGTCTGTACGGAGTACTTTGACAGTATTTTCCTCGACTGCCTGAGCATTGAGCATTTCTATCACTGTTTTGAGCAAGATGCGGTCTGCTAGGAATCCTTCGTCTTTGTCTTCCGTGGGTCGCTGTAGCTGAATTGAAGGTTGATTCAGCTCCTCCATTCTCGCCTGGAACTTTGTCCGGCCCAGCCACGCTGGTCCAAAGCCCCGTATTCGTCCAGTTTCTCGCTCAACGCCGAATTCCCAAGATCTGGCAGCAGTTTAGGCAGGCCCAGGCTGGCGGGTCGAATCCAGGTTGGTCCCAATGGAATTCAGCCCGATACGAGACCGTTGTGCGTTCTCCCCTTTTTTGAGCTGTCAGGATGCTCGCGGAGTGCATGGCAACATTCTATTCGTTATCCAGGAGCGTGGCGTCGCTAGTATCGCCCGACCGTTCGGTAATCGCCTATCATCTCTTATCAACTTGGCTAGTCAGTCCTCACGGTGGACTTTGTTCAGCTCAGCCCCTAAATTCTGGCCCGCCAGGCAAATCGAGCGCAGTATAGATACAAGATGTCCTTCGCTGTGATGATGGGTCCTGGGCGGATTGTCATTCTCCTCATCTCGGGAAATTCAAACGACATCTTCTGAAATACCACTTTCACAATGGCATCAGAGTGTCGTGCGCTCTACGAGCAAATATGGCTCAAGCCTGGGCCGACTCTGGAATTGGCGCAATCGGCCCTGATGAAGCCTGCACCACTTTCGTGGACCCTCGAGGAGCGGACGCGACTCACATATCAAAGAGCAAGGGCCTTAGCACATGCATACAGTAATACCACCGCTGCAGTTGTCACTTCATGGACAAGGGACTAATTGAGACGGAGCAGACTTGACCTTGGATGATGTGGTGAACACGACTCCAAGATTCTGGAAGCTTCACATCGACCTGCTCACGGCTATGGACGGTGGTGCAATCAACCTGGTTAGCGTCCAGTATAATCTTTTCGTCGGCACAGTTGCTCCTTTCGCTGCCACGCAGCCGGAGTTGGCGTGGGTTATACACCAGGCGATGAAGTTCGATATCTCGTGCGTTCTCTACATCTCTAGTCCTGGGGATAAAATTGACCTCGATCAGGGCACAATTCATGCTCACCGAGCTCGGGCATGGCTTAGATGCACGCAATCTCGAAACAACTGCAACCCTTTTGCCCAATGGCAATTTTGAATTACATACCCCTTCTCCGGCTGCTGCTAAGTGAGCACCTCCTGAGTTCATTCCTCGACCCTGAGACTAACAGTGGCAGATGTATGCCACCGAACTCTCTTCGCAGTGGCTTGCCTGTTTTTGCAGTCGTAATAGCCCGACTTGTTGTCGAGGGAGAGGATCGAGGAGTCCGACCGTTTGTCGTTCAAATGTCGGACGGGATCAAGATGTGCACCGGTATCACGTCGAAGTATGTATCCGAATTAATCCAGAACCACCTGCATAGATATATTGAGACTAACAAGCGCGGTGACTACTTAGGGTCTTCCCACCTCGTCCGGGTGCGAACCCGATTGATCATGCCTTGACCTACTTCAACCGCGTGCAGCTACCGTTCTCCGCCCTCCTTGGTGGCAAGGAGGGCGCCCTGCAGACGTCACGCAACGAACGTGACAACTTCTTAGCGACCATTCACCGCATGCCCCCCGGAACACTTTTCCTGGCTGGTGGGTGTATCCCATTGATCAAGATGGCTGTTTACAACGCCAGCAAATTCAGTTTCCGGCGACACATCCTCGGGCACGACGGGCAGCCGATGTCTGTCATCAACTTCCGTACCCAGCATCTTCCCATTCTTCACGCCATTGCCAGAGCGCATGTCCTCCAAGCGTTCTTTATCTACGCTGGAATGGAATATTGCGACCCGAAGAATACTGATCCACGGGTCCGCCATGCCTTCGCTACAACCTTCAAGGCACTTACAATCCACCACTTCCAGACTAGCCTCAAACTCATAAATGAGGGCTGCGGCTGGCAAGGATACTATGATTTCAACCAGATTATCCAGGCTGATGTAAGCTATTTCTCACCTCCACAAAATATCATGCATGCTAACCGCTTCCAGCTGGAGTTCCGTGCAGTGGCAACTGCTGAAGGCGACGTCAGGGTCTTAGCCATCCGTAAGTCTACTTAGTACCTAGTCTCCTGCAACCGGGCAAAAGCAACCACACACGCTAACTCTTTCGTAAAACAGGACTCGCAAGCGAACTTCTGATTGGCCGTTATCAGGTCCCACCTCCCAAGGACCCCAACGGTGTCCTAGCAAGACACGAAGCGGGCTTGATTGCAGAGGCGCGGGAGCTGATCAAATCTTTCGGCGGCAAGCATCGGAGCGAGGCTTTCAACCGAGCCATTCTTCCTCTGGCTCTTCCCTTGGTACAAGCTATCGGAGCTCGCATGGCACTCGAAGCCGCTAGGGAGGTGGGCATTGATTCCAAGCTACGGGCGCTGTACGAAGCTGGAATCATCAAGGAGGATTCCGCCTGGTATGCGGAGAAGGGCGGCCTCACGCGCCAGAAGCAGCGCGAGATGGAAGCCCAGGCGGCCGATGCAGTGCTTCCCGAGTTGGAACGATTGGTGGAGGAGACCGGCGTTGAACCGTATTGCACGGCACCGATGACGTCCGACCGGCTGTGGAACAATCTTGTTGAGGAATTGGAGGTCTTCTCGGGCGAGGGCGAATGCGAGACGGTGCCGGCTCCCCAGGAGATCAGAGCGCGGCTATAGAATGATGATACCTTGTGCCACGGCGTTTGACAATCGATTTGAGGATAGATCGGAGGCCGTAATTGGTTCAAGAATGTGAATTTAGCGCTTTGAGGGTTGCAATACTTAAACCGTACTGCTAACCTGCATTCCCCTTTGAAATTATATAACTTTCCCTTAATGAAATAGATCTTAGGTTGGTGCTCCCTACGTACCCAGTGGCCTACTATACCGTTTCCTGAGCCCTCGTGTGACGATGGTTCGAATATGAAATAGAATTAGATAGTGTCGGATTGTTTGATGAGTAAAACCTATTAACTAAGTAGAGAGGTAAAATTGTTATCCTGCAACTCCTGTTTACCTACCTAATTAAAGATGCTGCTGCACTTACAAAGGGTGGAACAGTACATGGGCAATCCATCTCTAATTCTCGAATACTTGCAGAGTACATACCTAGAGCTTTAGTCAGTTTCCAGATGATTTTATTCTACTTAGCAATCAAGTTCGAAATCGTTTGTCCATGTACTATGATAATTCACATAGTCGAGATAAACGTTTCAACCCACTACTATTCTCCTTACGAGACTGACCGGGAGATTAAAACGATTTCCCCTCATCTGCAAATTTGTGGCTCTAGGTATCGCCAACCCGTCTGACATTGCCAACACCATCTAGTTCCAAGGTCCATAGGTCGCCCTTACTTAGCAGTCATTATTTTGTGCGAATTTTCGGCCCAGCAGCAAAGCAGCTTACGGACGGACACAGTGGCCACTCCGCAAAAATAGATCCTCTCACTAGCAGCAGCTCTCAGCCAGTGAGAGAATGGAAAACCGTCAATTATGCAGGCTTTCCAGAGGATGAGAAGTATAATAGCATGACATTTATCCTTCTTTCAGCGAATACGTTGGATGGTTCCAGGTTCGCATCTTGAGTAGCAAAAATGACAATATTCAGGTTTGATTCTCTGCTCCATATCACACCCATTGGTATAGCGCATTGCTAGCTATGCATGTTCAAAAATGTAAGTCATGTACATCGAGGTCAATGCCGTGAAATATCAAACCGTCCACCAAGTCAGATTCGCACAGAAATGCTCATGCCATCGGTGCACATGTGAAAACCCCCCTTACAGCCCCCGTGTCAAATTGGCGTTTCTAGACGATGCTGTCAGCAATGGCAACCTAAACAGCCGGGGAATAAGGAATAACTTACAATATCGACGATACTTGCATAGGTTCCGCCACCCAGCACAATAACCCCGACGCAGAACAGGAACGCAGCTGACAAGTCATGCAGCAGTCGCTTCCGATTATTGCCTTCGCGTTTGCGCAGGAACATGAACCACATGACGGCTGGGATATAAAGAACGAAGCCGGACACAAACAAGGCTGAGCTGAGGGCGAGAAGGTCGTTGAAAAACGGGATCACTTCCGAGATGACCCACGCAGAGACAGTGATGGCTAGTAGAACAAGCAGCCATGTGATCCAGCCCTTGGGGGTGTTGATGAACCGGACCACGGAGTTTTCGTACATGCGCAGATGAACATATCGCGCTGTGACCGTGTTGTTAAGAGCGCCGGAGATATAGATCACCGGCAGCGCGACCCCAAATGCGATTTTGGCCATCAAGCTGCTCATCGATAACAGGGCGGGACTCTGGACGTCTACGCCGACGAAGGCGTAAATCAATGCGCCGACGAGAGTGTAGATCACGATTTCCATGCCGCCCAGGGTCCAGATCGATTTCATGTAGTCCTGGGGCGTGTGCATCTCGTCCATGAAGGAAAACTGGTACATTGAGAAACTGTAGGCAAACACGATGTTTGACACGGCGATAAACCCGTCTGCAACGGTCGTGCCGGGTCGGGGCCACGCAGACCAGTTGACGCCCGCCAGACCCCCGGGGGAATTCGCTGCCTCGACGCCTGTGGCGATGATGGCGATAATAATAGCTGCCATAATCGAGACGAAGTCGATGTAGCCAAGGATAGCTGCATCGGTGAACGACGGCATGATGGCTAAAAGCATCAGCAACACAGCCGAAATAATCCCAAAAACCATGGAGCAAGTCGCATTGTTGGTAAGAACATCAAAGGCAATGGTGCCAGTCAAGCAGTAGGAGGCCGTCACGAGAATGAGCTGCAGGACAAACATAATCCCAAAAAGCTCTCGGCCAAATTTCCCCAGCATCAACGTCCCAACGTCCCCGTAGTGGTGGATGTTCGGAAGTGCGATCTTCGTTTCCCCGACAAGGTAGCTGGCATATATTGCGACGACGCCCACCCCGACACAGCAAATCGTACCTGCCACCATGCCGAGGATTGCAAAAGAGGTGGGCAGCGTAAGGACCCCGAGAGCGATAGCCTCGACAACAAGCACCACAGTCAGACGTTTCCAGCCCAACCTTCGGAAGTGCGCAGCCCCTTCGGCTATCTTCTGTTTCTCGGTATCGGTGACCGCGTCGACATTTCCTTCGCCGATGCTGTTATGAGGAGATTCGTCGGAGCTAGCGACCTTCGAGATTTTGTCTTCATCCCAAGCCTTATCCTCGGTGTGTTGAGGAACGTCCTCAGGCGGATCGAAACCATGTTGCACACGTTTTGGATCCTCCATGCTGGAAAAATCGAGGTGAAGAGTGCCCCGAGCCCCAGTTTTCTTGTCCGCCTACTGTAGAGTCCGAAGCCTCATTGTACGATCGGTCAGGCAAAGTGAGATTAAATTGTTGAGAAAGATGGATGTGCCGTCAGAGAAAGGGAAATCCCCAAACCACCTGATCACTCATTCAATGCGTGAAGGTCTCAGAAATGTCTCACTTCCACCTGTGAGCGTAGGACGCATTGGAATATTGGGCCTTGATTCGGAAGTGCTGGAGGGCGGACTGCAGGAGGTAATCGCCGGAAGGGTCTCGTTGACGTCGAGCATTAAGTAACCGCCGGCTTTCCACATGTAACGTCTTGCACATCGAAGCTACCTTCCTCCTTCCCCGCAAAACGTAAGAGGTCCAATCATTCACCAAGGACAGTCCAATATGAGCGTGTGGCTACTGCGGATGTTTCTGGTAGGAGCGACCCTGCCTGCCCTTCAGGACGCTCAAGCTCAATTGTCTTGGAAATGTGGCGTTCAGAACCTTTCTCATCCTGACGACCTGCAACGGACATCCGGATACGCCGCATAGTTCAACAGGCTCTGCTATCGATAGGCACGACGCAGCCGAGCCAGTCGGAGCCCCCTTGCGAGGGCTGATCTTAGGACTGCATCATCGGAATCCGGGTTCTTAGGGCTGACTGTTCCCGCGCCGATATCCCTGCGGGAAACCGGAAACGATTCTGGGTGCTGCCTACGAAGTACAGAATGCTGCTTATCGATAAGTTTCCATGTGGCAAGGGATCGTCGTGTTCCAGGAGAATCTGTACTGTACATCGTGAATTCCACTCGTGAAACAACAATTAGGTGCATCGAAAATTTCGCCTTAGCGTAGATTGCCATATTCGTCTTCAAGATATCAAGGAGGCTGAGCAAATTGAGCAGCTGACTGGTAACAGAGATGCAGGAGGTTTGTGCCTCTTCTGCTCCATATGCTAGCCCGCCAAGCAGTGTGTATCGGCATCATCCATGAAATCTTCGGAGCATTCCTGAGCCATGATTTCCGTTTCCGGTCATGTCAAGCGCAAGGGGGATGCATCGGCCTGGCCGCAGGCGACAATTTATGCAGGATCCTGAAGCATTTATGCTTATAGTTCTCGCTTCTTTCGAGGCATATGGCAGGGTTCTGTTCAATGGTCTGACATGGTTCCACAAAGGGATGGATCATGGTAATAACATCCAATCAGGATGGAGTAGTTGCATAAAGGACGACAAGAGGATCACTGCGCATTCCAAAGCAAAAGTGGGAGATTGGAAGACTTGAGAGGGATATGACAACCTGAAGTGAAGAGAGGGCAACATTTGGTTGGTGTTTGCTGAAAGTGACCTAACTTACTATGATGGTCTTACCTAATCTCGACTCTTTGTCAACCCGTCTGGCTCCCGCCTAAGTTAGTTACACACTATATGAGAGTATCAACAAACGCAATACCAACAACACAACCACTTGTCAAGAAACTGTCAATCACCAACCACCTCCTCCCCCTTATTAGATTTGCGACTCCTAGTCTACCCTTTCAATCGAGAATAAGAGTAATCAAGATTGGTGCCATCGCGATCGGCGTTTCAGATCGCTGGGACTCTGGATCGTGGCCTCCAATTAAGGAGCCTGGAGAGAGTGCATTCCCTCCACAGATACGGAGAATCTCCGCAAACTCTCCCATCACTCAACCTTTCTGACTTCTAGCAAGACGTCAAATTTTCACTGCGTTGCTGTCAGCTGCCATCGAATTCTTCCTTCCTTCCTTCCTTCCTTCCTTCCGGATACTCCAAGCCTGGTTGGCGGCGGCCTATAGGCACTCGATGACATTGCCCCTGTCAATCAGTATCGCAATGGGACAATTCCAAGAACTCTGGTGCTCGGCTGGAAAATTCAGTCCCACTCCGCGCCAGCGCCGTTCGTTGTCTATTGACGATCAAATACCCGATATGTCCAATAGGCAATAGCACGTTCCTTCGTTCAAGACCCGCTTCTTTGATGGGTGTTCGTGGCTCCATCCCGCGCCTTTTATCGGACTCTGACTGGCCCTAACCAGCCAACGTCTAGCCGACAGAACTTTCGGTCTCCATCAAAGCATGAAATCGGGTTCCTCTCACCAATTGATCCATCCAGCCTCTGATAGGCTGACTGCTGTCACTAAATAAGGTAAACTTTGACTGCAAGTCTCAGGAGTGTGCTAAGAATGGCACTCTCGGCCTACTAGTCTAGTCGGGCAGTAAGGCCTGCAGGATGCAGATCTAATTTCAATGACCTCGCTGTCAAGTGGGCGAGAAATTCTAGCTTTTAGGTTATGACCGTAGAGAAGTTTAGGGCTCACAGCCGCAGCCGGAGAGGGATGGATTCAACGGTCTTCTTTTGCAACTGCGAATTGACAGGTATGGCTTCAGGGGACTTTGACGGGTGTCCTTGACTATGTCGTTACTAATGCAAGTTCTAGATGTGTAAATCAAGATTAATGCAAATCCTACAGTACGAATATGTCCACCAGATCTCTCTCCCGGCTGTTGGCTGAGCCCCCATCCGCCCACGCTCCATCACTGAGACCTGGACCACTTCTGCCCCTGACGTAGAACCGGAGCAAATATGAGATCTGCGAATGGGGCAGCCACCAGAGGGCAATCCTTTATTCTTCTGTCCTCTCCTCATTTGCTTCTGTCTCTTTTCCTTGTTCCTCTTCCCGTCACCCCGTTCCGTTCTCAAGCATCATGAGCCTGCTCCCAACCCTTCAGCATGGATTAGGTACACTATAAAACGAATAACCGAAACACGATAGTCGACTTGAGATTAGGCTACTAGTCTAAGTGTCATTGCTCTCGCTTCGGATGCAATCGGCTATGATTTGAGCATATGCAGTGCCCTGAAAGATTTAACGCAGTCAAACGAAACTCTCGAGGATTGACGAAGATCGCTCTGCACAATCATGGCTTCTCTCAGACGGTTTTTCCACACCGAGAAGTCGTCGGGAACGCCCCATGATGATCGAGACAATCGGTCAAAATCTTTGGGGAGCGATCAACAATCCGCTGCATTTTCTACGACGATAACCTCACATCCCCGTGGTTCCCAGAACGGACCCTCTGAGCCAGCTCACAACATGCGTGCACGCCCTACGACATCTTATTCTCAACCACCGTCCTCACTCCCTTCGAGTCCAAGGGGAGACAAAATTCCTCGGCACGTTGACTTGCTTGACGCACTGTTCACTTCGCATCGATATCATATACAGTGCCCTACTTCTTTATCGCCAATCACTCCTTACAATGAGGACATCGCGGAAAGGAACATGGCTTTTTTCCTCAAGGGAACGTTTCTTCCCAAGGTGGTGTACCCCCGTCCCACTTCTTTACAAGGAGATGTCACAAGAAACGTGTTCGGAAGGAACAGTCGTTCTTTCACACGCAGTACGAGTACACGACCTAAATCAGCACAGGGGTTGCCTCCCCGGTCAACTGATCAAAACGGAAAGGAGTTCACAAAAGGCCGGCCTCGCTTGCGGGCTAGGGAAGGCCGTGTAGCAACATCGACTTCCAAGTTATATGCTCGTACCGCGTCTTGCGCGCACGATGAATACCCAGAGTCGCCGACAGACATGAGCTCCCAAAGAAGCTCTCTGCGCTCACAGAGATCAGCACCTGATCTAGTGGCCGGACGGCCCACAACTTCTGATACAGAGCCCCCGACACCCAGCAATGGCTTCCTTGGTGTGCCTCCGGCTTATAAGCAAGGCCGCAGATGGAGCACTACTCCCCTCCCAGATAGTCCCACCATCCCATTGTCAATAAGCCATGACCAGAGTCTGAGCGAGGATGAGTCAACTCATGACACAACCAGCGTCACCCAGACTTCCAAGGATCATTCTCAGGCCGCCTCTTCTCGAATTCATTCTAAGAAGAACGTCCGAGATCTTTCCATCAACACAGAGCTTGCAGCTCGAAGAAATCCCACCTCAAGAGCAACGCACCGTGCCATCCAGCCACCGACTCCCAATACAACTGAGTCAGCACAACATATGAGTATTGCAGAGGTCATGAACAGCCCCTTGCCGGTGGCTTCACCCACAGCAGTCTCGCCTTTACCTCCCGCTACTGAGAAGGTTGCGGAAATTATGGACATGTTTCGACAGGCCTATACGTCATCGCCGGTCATGACACCTCACCCAACGTTTGAAACTCTTCAAGATGCTATCATCCGTGAAATCAATTCCCATGACGCCTTCAAACGGTTGACATTTCCCGAAACGGAAGGCTCTCTTACTCCCTCTCCCTCTCAGGAGTCGTTTGATAAGGGTCTCAGCGTGCAGCTATACCCTAATACGGGATCTGAAAGAGGTCCTAATGCGAAAGAAGGTCAACTCCTCAAGTTGATCCGAAAGAGTTCCTTTAGAAAGCATAAAAGAAACTCGGAACAACGTAGGAGCATCTCGACAAGTGTGCCAACGACAGCCATACCTCAGGTGTCAGAAGGGACCATTCGACGGAGGCACACCGATGCCCCGTTACCATCAGGCCAAGTCTTGAGCAAAGCAGTCGCGGGGGAGGACAGCCTTGAGGAACCTGAGATGCCCATGACCTACATGGATCTGCTGCTGCGGTCTGAGGAAGCTGCATCTGACATTGGCTCGAAGCAAGCCTGTCGCTTATCTGGAAACACGACCCAGTCCACGCCCACACAGTCCCTTTCGTGCGAGAAGGCGGATCGCTCCAGGCCGTCGCCATCCATTCTCTACATGCGCGCCCACGGCTCCGATTCCATACAGGGATCCCGATCCAGCTTTTCAGATGACGAGAGTGACGAAGAAATCATCGAACTACCAAGCCTCGAGCCTCCGGAAGTCATTATCCATGGCATCGACTACGAACATGCGGCGGTCCCCACTGCGCAGAGCACAACTATCAAAAGCCCTTACCGGATCATGAGCTGGCCGCGCAAACCCACCAACAACATCTTGAACGTGAACTAGCTTTCTTCTCTCTCTTCTCTTCAAGCGCTTCTCTTCCAGGCTCCCGAGATCCGACAACTCAAGCTGTCTGACCTACTATCCTCCATCCATTCTTGTGGAGGGCAGCCCTTCTCAAATGAGACCGTTTCATGATACCCATCTATATGCATGTCCACTAACCATTTCTTCCCTCCTTCCTTGCACAGCTTTCACCCGATTCCAATCATTTCTTCCTTAAAGAGAAACACGACGTTGTCTTTCTCACGAACGAGTGCTGCACATGATCCTTTTTACGGTCCCAAAAGCTGACTTGTCGTTACGTGCTTTCTTCTAGACCATCTCTCCCTGCTAGTGCAGAGGAGTTGCCTCTGCTACCTACACTCATTGTATAGATGCATAATTTCCTATTATACTTTCTTATCTGTCTATTAGCGCAACCATCCATCACTGCCTGCTGTCGTCGCTCAACATCATGTCTCTCCTTCTCAATAACAAGCAAAGATCAACTAAACAGCCGAGCTCCATGCGAAGTAGTCAATGGTAGTTAATAAGTACCTATAAATCTATCACTCGGTACCCATTCTGTCTACTTCTCAATTTACAAACAAGTGACGACGACAAAGGCCCCATCAACTTTACTCCTCAAATTTCAGATAACAGCACACTGCCCATTGAAAAGGTATCTGATGCAAGCAAAAGCAGGGAAATTCTAGAAAACTCTTGATTCTTTCTTTCAGGATAAAAAACTCCTCATCACACGCTTTCTTTTCCTTCTCTCCCAAACCCCACCAACCCCAGTTTTTCAGACGCACAACCAAACAAAAAACTGTAATGGCAGGAAAGCAAAGTCATAACAGTCATAGTACGAAGATAAGAAGATGAGGATATGCACACAGAATGGAAAAATGAAACCACTCTTGATTGAAACAAAGTAGTGGTAAATAAAATGTCAGTTGCAAGTGATATGATATTGAATAGTGTAACGACGACGAAAAGCGCTTAGTACGAGCCTAGATTAGGGGAATCAATCTGGGTTAGCGAAAATGGCTCGAAGATGATCACGACAAGAAAACTTACGGCCGAACATGCACCACTTCTCCGCAGGGCGGGTACACTTGGGGTTGCAGCACTTGGTCTCGCCGGGGACGATACCCTCGGGCTGGTCGAAGGGGATACAGAGGGACTTGGCGCCCATGCTGGGGGCACGGGCGTCCTGGGCCTCGCCAGAGTCCTCCTCGGCCTTGCGGGCGCTCATGTCCTTGATCTGGTCCTCGCACTCCTCGGTCAAGCAGTGGGGGATGATGCAGACGTTCTTGTCGTTGAGGGCGGGGGTGAAGTCGTCCCAGTTGGTGATGAGCTTGCGGTGGGAGCGGTACTCGTTGTCGGCGCGGTTGTACAGGTCCTTCTGGATGGTCTCGAGGAGAGCGGGGACGGCTGTCGCGAGGTCGGCGATCTGGATGGGCGCCTTGCCGTCCTTGCCGGGGATGTCACGGCGAGCGGCGGTGACGAAGCCGCCGGCCATCTCACCGGGACCGAACTCGATGCGCAGGGGCACACCGCGCAGCTCCCACTCGTTGAACTTCCAGCCGGGGGAGTAGCCCTCGCGGAGGTCGGAGATGGCGCGGACGCCGGCGTCCTGGAGGACGGAGACCAGGCGCTCGATCTCGGCGTAGAGCTTGCTGCGCTCCTCGTCCGAGGTCTTGGCGGTGATACCGACGGGGACGATGACGGTCTGGTTCTCAGCCACGCGGGGAGGGAGGACCAGACCGCGGTTATCACTGTGGATCATCACCATGACACCCAGAGTACGGGTCGACAGACCCCAGGAGTTCTGCCAGACGTGGATGGGGGGCTTCTTCTCGTCACCCTTGGCGGAGGGGTCCTCGACGGTGATGCCGAACATCTTACTGAAGTTCTGGCCCAGACCGTGGGAGGTACCACCCTGGATACCACGGCCAGTGGCGGGAATGTAGCCCTCGACGGTAGTGGTGTAGAGACCACCGGCGAACTTCTCCTTCTCGGTCTTCTGACCCTTGACGACGGGAACGGCCAAGAGCTCCTCGTAGATGCGAGCGTAGAGGTCGAGGATCTGCATAACCTCCTCATGGGCCGCATCCTGGGTCAGGTGGGCAGTGTGACCCTCCTGCCACAGGAACTCTCTGGTTCTCAGGAAGGGCTGGGGGTGCTTGAACTCCCAACGAACGACAGAGTTCCACTGGTTCAGCTTCAGAGGAAGGTCGCGGTGACTTCTGATCCACTTGGCGTAATAAGGGTACATGACAGTCTCAGAGGTGGGACGGATAGCGATCTTCTTCTCAAGGGGGGTGGAACCACTGTGGTATAGAGACGGATCAGTTAGCCATCACGCGACCAAAGATAACCATCAAGGAGAGTTGCATACGCATGGGTGACCCAGGCGACCTCGGCCGCGAAACCCTCGATGTGGTCCTTCTCCCTCTGCAGGACATCCTCAGAGACAAAGAGAGGGAAGGAGCAGTTCTTGACACCCATCTTCTTGATGTATCCGTTGAACCAGTTCTGGATCTCCTCCCAGATAGAGTATGAAGCGGGCTGGCGCATGATCAGCACGAGTGCAAGCCGAATAAAATAACCTAGAAACCACCCACCTTGAGAATGAAGCATCCAGAGACATCGTAGTAGTCAAGCATGTCACCCTTGGTCAGAACCTGCTGGTACCAACTGGGGAAGTCCTCCTCCTTAGAGACATCAATACCGATCAGAGCGGCACCATCAATCTTCTTCTTAGGAGCCTTGGAGGCGGGCTTCTTGGCCTCCTGCTTTCCAATTCCCTTGTTGGCAGCATTTCCAGCCTTCTTGTCGGCCTTGTCTTGAGCCAACTTGGCCAACTTGGCGGCTTTCTTTGCAGCATTCTTGGAGACCTCGCCCTGGGGAGCAGCGGCATCGGCGGGGGCCTGAGTGCGGTCGGGCAAGGTTTGAGCGGCGGCCGATTCGGCGGGAACCGCAGCGTCAGCGGGGGCTTGGCTGGACATTTTGGAGTCTGAGGAAAGGACCTTCGGGCGGAAGAAGAAGAAAGAAGGACCAAACTCGAAAATGCAGTCAGAGGTTGACAGAAGATGGGGTCGAGCGGTAGCGCGGAGAAGGGGAAAAGGCGTTAAGGAAGAGCCCCTCTTCTGAGTCAAAGTGGGATGTCTCTTTGCGCTTTCTCACCGCTCGGGGCCCGGCAGAACTTTTAGCGCAAAGGCCCTCTCCCCGAACAAGTCGAACGCAGCAGCAAAGCAGCCAAAAGCAAAAGCAAAAGCAGTCCTGTTAGCTGTCGGAGCTTTTCTTTCTTTCTTTTTGCACCCTTCTCCATATCTCCTTGTCTGTTTCACAATCATGGCAGGCATCTTCGAGGCTCCGCGGAATGCGGACACCCTTTGTGAGTTTAAATTTCACATTTCTTCCGACTCTATGTTCCCCTGGACCTCTTCATACTGACTACGAGCTTCGCACAGTCTTGGGTGGGCAGAAAATCACCGGTGCTGATGTACGGGAGCAGAACGGTATGTGTTCGCAAGAAAGCTCAATGCTTACGGACGGATGTTGATTGAATCTCGCAGTCCTTGCTACGCAGGCGATCGCAAATGTCGTCAAGAGCTCCTTTGGCCCCTCCGGCTTGGACAAGATGATGGTGGATGACATCGGTGTATGTCTGCCCTCGCAACCCCGTCTACCCAACATCAGCTCCCTGACGCTTACCTAGGATGTTACGGTGACGAACGACGGTGCGACTATCCTCAGTCTTCTTGATATCGAGCACCCCGCCGGAAAAATCCTCGTCGACTTGGCTCAACAACAGGATAAAGAGGTCGGTCCTGCCGCTTGCCTACGTCTCGTTCAGGAGAGGGGAATTATTCACGCTGACCACTGTCTAGGTTGGTGATGGTACCACGTCGGTCGTTTTGATTGCTGCAGAGCTCCTGCGAAGAGGCAACGAATTGATGAAGAACCGCATACACCCCACGACCATTATCAACGGCTACAGACTCGCCCTAAGAGAAGCCGTCAAATATATGAATGAGAACATCACTACGAAGGTCGAGACCCTGGGCAAGGACAGCCTGGTCAACATCGCCAAGACTTCCATGTCCAGCAAGATCATCGGCGCAGACGGCGACTTCTTTGCCAACATGGTCGTTGACGCCATGCTGGCGGTCAAGACCATCAACCAGAGAAACGAGGTGAAGTACCCCGTCAAGGCGGTTAACCTGCTGAAGGCACACGGAAAGAGCAGCAAGGAGTCCGTCCTGGTCAACGGCTACGCCCTCAACTGCACTGTCGCCTCCCAAGCCATGAAGACTCGGATAACCGATGCGAAGATTGCCTGCTTGGACATGAACTTGCAGAAGGAGAGAATGAAGCTTGGTGTTCAGATCACAGTCGATGATCCCGATCAGCTGGAGAAGATCCGCGAGAGAGAAGCCGGCATCGTCCTTGAGCGTGTCGAGATGATCCTCAAGTCCGGAGCTAATGTCGTCCTCACCACCAAGGGTATTGACGACATGGTGCTCAAGCTTTTTGTGGAGAGAGGTGCCATGGCCGTCCGCCGTTGCAAGAAGGAGGATCTCCGCCGGATCGCCAAGGCCACCGGTGCCACCTTGGTGAGCAGCCTGTCAGACTTGAACGGTGATGAGAAGTTCGAGGCCTCGAACTTGGGTCACGCAGAGGAGGTTGTGCAGGAGCGGATATCCGATGATGAGTGCATCCTTGTCAAGGGCACCAAGGTACACACCTCGGCGTCGATCATCCTGCGGGGCCCCAACGATTTCACTCTGGACGAGATGGAGCGTTCAGTGCACGACTCCCTCTGCGCCGTGAAGCGGACGTTGGAGAGCGGCAGCATTGTCCCCGGTGGTGGTGCCGTCGAGACGGCTCTTCACATTTACCTCGAAGAGTTCGCTGTCACAGTTGTATGTTGTCCATCACCCCAAACTTTCACATATGTGCCATATCAAGAATCTAATCGTATCCACTACAGGGCTCTCGCGAGCAACTCGCCATCGGTGAATTCGCCCAGTCCCTCCTGACTGTTCCCAAGACCCTGGCCGTCAACGCCGCCAAGGACTCGTCCGAGCTTGTCGCCCAGCTCCGTGTCCGACATGCTCTGTCGCAGCGTGTGCAGGACGGCGATGCCAACGAGGAGGAGAAGGCTATCGCCAAGAAGAAGACCTACCGCAACTATGGTCTCGACCTGACCAAGGGTCGTGTTCACGACACCCTCAAGGCCGGTGTCCTCGAGCCTAGCATGGGCAAGATCAAGCAGCTGAAGAGTGCCGTCGAGGCTTGCATTGCCATTATGCGTATCGATACCATGATCAAGTTGGACCCGGAGAGGAAGGAGGATGATGGACACGGTCACTAAATCAAGCTTGGTGGTGTCTTGCTTGCTTTGGTCAACCCCTCTCTCTACCCCAATTCCATCTTTTCCCCTGCTTCTTCATGTGGAGTTCTTAGATATTTAGGATG